CATTACGAGCATTAAATGCAAAAAATGCATTGTAAGCAGAACATGCATATATATGATATGCACATTTTTACTATTATGTACAGGAAGTGAAAAATGCGACAGGTCGCATTTTATAGAAGTCTAAACGCGTGCTCTGAGCGTGGCCAGCGTTAAATTTAGCATACTGCCACAAGCCCCAACAAATTAATAACACCTGGTCACAACATACCTGTACTGGAGGTCAGGTCACAAAACAGACAAAGGAAACATTCCATTGACAAGGCTGGTAAGAGGCAAGGAAGGCTATCATACTGAAGATTGAACTTTTTGAGGTCAGAAGTCAACTATACTTATGTAGGACACCAACCACTAAAAACATTATATATACTTCCACCGTTTTATGTTCATTACTACTGGCAGGTGTAAACTAGATTGTAATCAAAATGTAAGATTGAATCCAAACAATAGGTGATTTTCCGTACAATTGCGAGATCTCACGAGATGCATGAAAGACGCGCGTCGAACGTCTGCGGCAAAAATCAAACGATTTGATTTTGAACTCGAATTTCCTTATTTCGTAGCTCACACCGACCGGCCGATCTTCGACAGAGGAATATTGCTTCCGAATACCCTTACTTAATCGAAATTGCCTATCATCAAATGTGTACAGCACATTATTAAGCATGGAAATGTCCCCAAAATACTTTCGCGTTTGTTGAATCCCACGCGATGTTTGACGCGACTACGACGCTATGACTTTTGTTTGTCCTGTTTTTACGTTTGATTTCACGCATAACGCGTGATTCTCACAGTGAACGGAAAATGGTCTATTGATTCAAAATGTTATTTTGAAAACAATAGACATTGTTACGAATGACACACCTAGTACTTTAGTAATTTCCAAGAAAATGGAATACAATTGGATTATTATTCTGAAAATTGGAATCACTGCACTTAAATTATTAATATACCATGGCTGTCTTGAATCACAACATCTAATGAGTTATTGAGAAACAGCATGGCAATACTATAATTTGTTTTATCAATCTGTTTGTGATTTGATGAATTGAAGGAAGTCATGACAAACATGCTAACTGCTGCAAAATGCTGACCCTCAAATTTTAAGAACATCAGTTATTTATACTGTATGGCATGGTTGGTGTTTATGACATCATAAAGAGAAAGTAATATCAAATCAATCAGTTAGCCATTTTCAAGATAACAAGCCATGCATGGCACAGTCCCTGTTAGTTATCAAATTTAAAATACATGTATATAGTTTTGTTTATAGCAATATAGTTGGAAAATAAACATGTTAGAGATATGGATCCAGAAGCTATTGCTTTATTATGATTTTTAATATTAAAATGACTGACATTCAGTCATCTTGTATCTGATCATTAAACGAGTACTTGTCCATATTAAGGGATATTTCTTTGGAACATGATGTATAATGAATATATAAAATTTGAAGATAATTAGTCAAAGCATGTTGGAGATATTGCACTAGAACCACATTCATTAAAACCAAGTTTCAACAAAATCCATTTGTAATCACCTGAGATCCAGTTCCAGAATGCCAGAAATGCCTGATTTTGATGATTTTTCAGCATAAAAATGGCTGGCTTTCGGCCATGTTGAATCAGATTTTGAAACAAATTGATGTGCATATGTATAATATTATGTTTGATGTATGTGTGAAGTTTGAATGTAATCAGTCCAGGCATGTCTAAGATATAGGTCTGGATGGACGCACGGACGCACACACGCATACCACACACACACAGATGCATGAATGCACAGGGGACACTCCCATAAGTCCCTGTTTTTGGACTGCATCCGAATAGGACTAATAAGAATATTCACTAAAAGTAAAATTATAGAAACTAAATGAATTCTGAGTAATGACTTGAATAAATCTGTCAGTGGGCCATCCAATTAAAATATCAAAACAATTAGGCTGGTTGTGTTCAAAAAGACATCAGGAATATTTTTTTTTTTTTTACTGAAAATAACAAAATTATTCACTAAAATTAGAGAATGAAAAAAATTGACATTTCAAATTCAATCACTTCTGACATCAATCACTTGACCCTGTATCATATTCAATTGTAAGATTGCAAACTTTTCATTAAATTAGATTACTAATTTGATGCAATGAAAAAAACATTCATGGTAGACGGAAATTCAAATCGATTTGTTACACATGTTACTAGACTTTATTTTTGTAATCAGTTTTCAATATCATCCACTAGCACCACTCAGTAAGCGGCAATCATATTAGTGATCGCATATTGAGACACTGATTGTGCATACATGTGTTGTATAAAGCCACCAGACAACTAATTATTCAATAATATTTTGCACTCCATGAAATACATAACAGACATTTACTCCATATTTAATCGATCTACAAATATTCTACCTATGGTATTTCCAAACAACAATATCTCAAACTAGTAATTCACACTCTTGTAAAAGAAATAGTTTTTTCGGCATTCACTGCATGGCACTTGCATGGCTTCACACAGCCTTTGGCATCTCGCATCACAGCATAAGGCCAAAAAACAAACAAACTTATGTTGCCCTCAAGTCGGAAAATTGAAAAATTGGGTCGATCGGTCGGATTTTTTTTTTTTTTTTTTAAACTTGTGAAAACTATGGGGATCAATCAAACGCACGATAGATATTAAACACAAAAATCAAAGTGTTTCCTTCAGTCTTTTGTATTTAAATACAGATCAACCCGATGTTCAAAGTCGCCACTTATCCGCCTGTTTACTGCTTAAAATGGTGAGTTTATAATATTTGGGCCTATTAAAAAAAAAACGCGACCCGATATCGGTCGCTGAGGGCAACAAAACAATTTTTTTTTTGGCCTAATAGTACAATGAGCTACTTGATTCAAATTACAATGAAAAACTTTAGGCCGATTAATATTGTAAGCAACACAAATAGCTTTCACTGATTCACTTGTGCAATCCCCAGGATCGACAGCTACCCCTTTAAGTGTTTTCACATGTTGTATCCGTTAAAGGCCATTGTGACAAATTGCAATGTAATCCATGTGCAGTTGTCAACTTAACTCCTAATTAGCAAACCATATTAATAGTTATAAAGTCAAGCTTTGTTAGTGGAATCAAAGACAATAGAAAAGATGTCTTTGATGGAATACAATAATACTGCGCTACAATAGATTTTGATATAAACTAGGATAGTAATCTAAGCTTCTGTTTATAGTGATTCAATAATGATTCAGAATAATCTTTGTTTTTTCTCTACTGGTACATGGCATGATGACTATGAGAATAAACCATTATTTTCAAAAAGAAATAAAGCATTCATCATAGTGATGTTTACTGATTAGAAGTGCCATTGAGGCAAATCAGGTGATAATATTTGTTTACACCACATTTCGGGTAGTTTCTATAGCAATAGAGGTGTTTATGGTTCATACATTATGTAACAGCTATTGTTATACCAACACCATTCTTAAATGGCCCACAAGACAAAAATCCAGGGTTGCATAGCATCCAGGTGCCTAGTCAACAGTGAAATCCAATGTTACATAGCATCCAGGTATAGCAACAGTAAAATCATGGGTTACAATCCAGGTGCCAAAGGCAACAGTGAAATCTCGGGATATAATCCAGATGCCTAGGCAAAAGTGAAATCTCGGGATATAATCCAAATGCCAAGTCAGCAGTGAAATCCAATGTTACACAGCATTCAGTCACAGCAACAGTTAAAACCAGGGTTGCAATCCAGTTGACTAAGCAACAATCAAATTCCCTTTTGCAAGTGCCCAGGCAACAGATGGCTTTATGAACATGTTTATGTGAGTATTAATATTTGTATTAATATTTGTATCTGCATAGTTTCTCGAATAAGAATTGTCAGTACAAGATCAAATGTTACATCACTATTTGGGAATGTTGTAGGACAGGAAGTATAATGTTGGAGTGCATTGGGGGGGGGGGGGTCTTTGGTAGTTTTGCCTTTAATACTTGAAGTCTTCAGCTGAATATTCAGTTTTATTTTATTGTAAGTCCTTTTTATTTGCATGGGACAGTGCATAACATTTTTGAGGTATGATTCAGTTCCTTGTTTTTTTTTCTTTATTCACTACAATAATACCAATGTTTATCACATGACAGCCAGGCCTGAGTGGAGAGGGCACCACTTTTCAGGGACAAAATTTATAAAATGGCCTTAGCAAATAGGAAATGAAAGGATACCAGGGCAAACCAATTGGGTTGATGTCTCTGTGAAATTCAAATCCTGTCACAGGGTAATATGTAGTTTTTGTTAAACGTCCAGAGAGAACCATCAGGCTTGGATGACAATACTGATTTCAGGTCAACAAAACTGTGTATTGATGTACATGCTATGTGATTATAATAATGCTAATGTTTATGTAATATTCTAATAATGTGCACAAGTAATATTTATTGTAACACAATAACCAACAAAGAGCAATCTAAATTTAGCCTCAACAAGAATAGTGTTATTGACTCAAATTGCGCCTTACTTGGATCACCTGACAGTTTATGTGTGTTTCTTGTCATCTCACAAAGCCGGTAGTCTGCTCCTCCCATCGCTAAATGCGATACTGCAATAATGTATACACATTCACTGCAAACTAAAAATGCCGGCGCCTTTAAAATGTAATGAGCTGCGCCTAACCACCGAAACGTCTATATGAATGGAATGCATAAACATTCATTTTTTTGTGTTAAGCTAAACCTGTCGATAACGGAATGTCATGTTGGTGGATATCAACGTACAGTCCCGAAATCGTTCACACATTGAAAACAAGTCCAACCAGAGTGTGTTACTGGCATTCCGATCGTCGACGTGCTATACAAGCACTGAAACATGTCATGAAATACACGCGACAGCCGCGATCTTTAATAATAGGTGACATTCTTGGCGTGTGGGCAGTCACAATTGGCGAGGAAATTCAAGCGCCAATATTTTGCGGCCGACAACAACTTTAGCAAGTTTGTTTATGTTTTTACCTTTTCTTTCGCCAATACCGCCGGTAGTTTCGGTGGGTTTCGTACGATATCTCTGCAGATGTATATCACCAACGCCCCGGCACCTGCACATAACGCACCGGTCCCTACCAGCGAAGCTTTAAGGAATCTCTTTTGCGGATAACTTGACGACAATCTACGCAAATTCGCCCCTGAAGACCGAATAATATTGAAAATTCTACTCCCAGCTGTCGCCATCTTGGAAATAATAATTCATGTTTGCGCATGCGCCATGCTAAACCACGCCCTCTTTGGCTCAAAGAAAGATACAAATAATAAAAAGTATATTTTCTTAAAATTTAGCAAGTGGTTTCGTTTATATTTATTATTGTTCAACTTTTAGAATTTGTATATATCATTATCAAATGCCATATTACGTCAGAAGTGATTGATAATTCTTTAGGATTCGGAAGTTGTAGGAGAGTGAGTAAATTGAAAAGCAGGATTGCTGATAACGCGAACCAATTAAATTCATTCCCATAGAAACTGTCTTTCACTGACGGCTTGTCGTATTTATTATTGCGTTAGCATTAGGAAATGCTGTCTAAGCCACACAGCTATTAGATAATGAAGTAAACGACAATCAATGATGACCGCTAGCGCCAGTTATAACCTTCTTCTTCACGACAGCTTATTCTGTTTTACCCGCATGTATTGTGGAATCTTCTACCACTCCTCTATTTTAGTTTACATTGCACCGTACAGCTCGATTTACGCGTTCTATTATTGCCAGTAACAATACCATACTCAAAATAACAAAACAAGGGATTCCCCGACACTGTAATAATATAATATATTTGAAGAGGCAATTCACTAAATACTTACGTCATCAAAATTGTCCAATGGTGACCCTCGGTAGGTGTTTCGCCTTCGCCTTCGCTTTTTACTTCAACTTAGTACATTTAAGTAGTAAACAAATCCTCACTGGTTAGTTGAGGTATCGAGAAAAGCTGTTAAAGCATTGACAGGTTAGTCTGCTTGCTTAATTGGTACTTTTACGTCTTTTACGTCTTTGCAACAATCTGATTTTCGAGTTCACACATATAATTCTCGTAATTCTCTTGAGTGGTATTTCGCGCTTGTGTGAGTGGCGTGATCGAAAGTGGGTCCTGAGGCGGGTGAAATATTCCTTCAGTCCTTTTTGTGTTAGACGTCAATTCCAGACATTTAACGTCACTGTAGTCTCTTCCGAATTTGTATGTGTAAATTTCAAGTGTTGATTGTAGATATATTGATTTTTTTTGCCCAATATTTGAACCATATTCCGTGTTCCTTGATACATGGCAATCTCCCAGACGTGATGACATTACAACAACCCAGTACGCTATACCAACTTCGCCCATTCTTGGTTTGGACACACTGACTTACCAAATCACAACTCATTAGTGAATGAGACTAGTGGTTTTAACCTCCACGTCGGGCATATGGGTATACTCACCCTAAAGTGCTAGACCCCGACTTTTTTTTCTGTGTTGGTGTTCAACCACCAGTATGATTTGAACTGGCATTTGAACTTGCGTTTCAAGTGACATTTTGCCTAAAAACAAAACCGTTAATTGTTTCAAGTTTCGCGTTCTCAAACTGGTCGCTTTCAAGTATGATATGATGTGATATATAATGAGCCAAGGTCATTAACCTTTTATTTCTTCGCGTTAGATATGTATTGCGAATCGCTAACTGTTAATGAAGGTCAATATTTACGTTTAATGAAATTTGACAAGTACATCAGTAAATGATATCCACCTTTCTCGTTTTAATTTGTAGCTATAACTGATTATAACGTTGAGTGTTGTTTTACTAAATACTCTAATCCTCCCACAACATATACGTTGACAAAGGGTACAGGTGAATTTCAATACAAATACTTTCGGTATTGCTGTACCATGAACTGACAGAATTATATATAGGGTCATGTATCAACAATGCACCGTGCTAGAACACTATCTCTCGGTCGGCACCGCGTGGAATGTTTCGGAGCAGCCAAAGATTGTATCATTGAAGCGGGCGACAGCGGAATGCTTTGCTTTGTACGGCGGTCCGAGTTAAGTTCCACGGTAACAGAGTCGGTGGTTTACCTTGGCTAAACAATGGCGTGTTTATATTTTATACCTCCATTCAAATTTGTCACCCCCACTCAAAATTGCTTAACATTTTTGTTCACGTATGCTTATAAAAGAAAGCCGACAGAAACAGGTAAAATTAAGTACTGTATTCATCACTCCGAACGGGATATTGGAAAACTGACACCAATTAAATTACTATATAATGACATATTTTACGGAGTAAATTAATTAATGATCAATTAAATAGTCGATTAATTAATTAAAGAACAAATAAAAAAAGTATTTAATCTATCGATCAATCCATTCACTAAACTTTGATTAACGCTTCCATTTTATATTATTTCTCGAAGTTACAACACATAATTAATATAAGATACTGAATTAATATTTGAAAAGACGGCAAAGAGAAAATTAGTAACAATTTAATTGTACGGGTGTGATTCTGCCCAGCCCTAGATCGTCTTGTGCCGGCATGTAGGACGTAGTCTTGCTGCACCAAGGCGACATGCTGGGACGCAGCATTCATTGTTCATAGCGAGGGCACCTTAATAAATAGTGCCTACTTTCGTGTCTTGTCACTACACGAATTCTCGTCATTGTTCAACTCTGCACTTTGAATTGGGCGCGTCATTTGGACAGTAAAACTTCTCTGTGTAGCAGCTTCCTGTACTGGGACGCAGAGTGGAGGCTATGGGTGGACTGGCTGGTTGATATTCCTCCGCATACTAGACTCAGCTTATTTACATATGCAGTTTTCTAGCATGTATATAAACAGTCGACACACTGACTTAACGACCTTATACGCTAAGTGGATGGTAGAGCGAGGCTATATGCATTGCACGTATACGGACTTCATGATTTGAAAGGCCAAGCACGGAGCCCACAGAGGCAGGATTATCTACTGTTTTATTTTAATGTGATCAACAATTTACCCGTTTCTTACAGTATGGATATTTCTTCGATGTTAACCGTGGTGGGGTTGGTCGTGCTCATACTAGGCATGTCCATGGCTGTACCCACACCAACTACTACTACCACCACGAACAGTATTCTACGTACTACGGATATACTACCAGTGAACACTACCCATCCCGACGAGAACAGGACGATTGGGCTCTCCCGTGAACTGAGGAGTACAGTCAGTACATCTAGAGAACTTGCGAGTTTAAAGCAGTTATATTGTAGAAGTGGTTCTCATTTACAAATATTAAATGGAAGTATTTCGGGCACAAGAAAAGATCACGACAAATACGGTGAGTTATGCAATTTAATTTTAAATATACATATTGTTAATTACAACCTTGATATATCAATCGCGCTAGTGTGGTTCATTTTCTTAAGATTTCAGCAGAAACGTTGTAATTTTTATGTTAAGCATAATCCATGCGTGTATTGCATATATGCCCTCTTTGCCGTATCCCGTGCATCATCCTTCGCGACTGACGATGTTAAGTGTGTCCAGTACACTCCAAGGCGGGCGCCTGCCTGACAGCCTTCGGCGATGCGTGTGTTGAAGAAAAGTCTAAATTCTTGTCTTTCTTTCGGGTCTATTGCCACTCTTAATGTCGCGTACTCGGTTTTTGTGTGACACTGCTGTCTCGTGTCGGTCTTTATCTATTTATGACACATATATCTTTGACGCATCACTGGTTTGGGGTAGGATTTATTTCGGTAACTTTATTTTGTTTTTCGTTCTCGGAGACGTGTCTAATCACGATTTGTGGGGTGCTTTAAATCTCACCAATGACACAGTCACATGTTGGAGAAACCTAATCGAAGAGTTCCCGCGTTCCAGCATTTCGAATTATGCCAAGTAGGGAAAATGATGTCTCTCGGCGCCGATATTAGAATAATTTGTGTTCATTCATTCCGATTGGTTTGTCCGATTTAAACGAGCTCGCTCCTCGTGCTTGTTTGCACTCTATCAACTTTGACGGCGGTGTTTTGAGCACTCGTCATGTATACTACTCGGTTGTACTACCCACTTCAGTTCATGGGATATACCGCAATTGCAACGTGGTTAATACAAAGATCCCCATCGCCTAGTTGGTGAAATATTTTCCACGGTGGAGTCCCATGAGCATGCCAGGGCTTGCTTTGTTAAAACTATTGTGTTAAAAGTTCCAAGTTGTTTAAACGACAATGTAATGCGATAGAATGTATGTAAATTTCAGACCGCCTTTATGCGGCTCCACAAAGCAAAAACTCTCAAAGCCTAGTAACATCTACAGCAGAGATGTTAGCTCAAGTCCAAACGGTTCTCTCACTGATACAAATTGTCCTTGCCAACCACTGACCACTACGTTGAACTTAATCGGCCATTTTTTAAAGTCAGGGTTTCCTTTGATATTTTGGGGTGGAGGAGAAACGTGCCACAGTCATGACCACACGAGATATACACGTTCCAGACATTCGTTCGATGTCCTTACTTTAAGTTGAATAGTTCAAATTCCATTTATTTAGTTTCCACCAAATCCCACGTGTTTAGGTTACAATTGCTTGACAATGGCATATCAACAGTCAAAAATAAATAACCACAGTTCAATGACTGCGTACCATATCAGTTATCGGATCACAATAAATAAATTAATGCTATTCACGTTATGACAAACAGCTATTAACACCTCGTGCTGGGACACAACATTGTTTTTTTTTTGCATTGTGCAATTGGTCTTTCAAGCTCAGAACAGGTTGTATGATGCACACAGGTGTGTATACGAAATCGGTTTAAGATTCTGTGCAATGTAGGTGTAATAACAAATGGCGTATGCTTGGGCCTCCAAAAAATTCGGTCGTTGTAAGTATAGGAAATTCAGGGTCGTATATCAAAAATGCATGTGTCAGGTGTTTCCATCAACGGCGGCGTCTGTCTAGCAGACCGTCGCATGCACCCCATCCACTAAAACACGCGAACTTTATTTTATTGAAGGAACGGGGGACAAAGATCGTGGCCACCTCTCGTTTTTTAATGCCACGCTTGGCGAACATCAATGGTCCTCGCATGTAAATCAAGAGTGCATGTTGGGAGGGACAAGTGCTCCAGTCTTTGTTGCTTGTCAAGTGATACCCGCCAAAGGTTACATACACCCGATGGTTGTTGTGAGAGAAGTCCAGCATTATACCTAATCCAGCCTATCCATATAGAGCGTATAACGGTTACGATAAATGCAACAGCATCCCGTGCTGTGCGTCTTTCTAGTCACCGAAACGATCGGACATCAACGAGTTCATTGTCACGAAGAAGGAAAAAAAACGCATGCAATAAATGAACTCGACTCTATAACTCCAGGGTCAGCATCATCCATGGTCACGGTGTTAATTCCGTCAACAATTTCAGATCATTGGGAGGGGAGGGGGCGTCTGGTTCATGGTTAACATTACTTAGCGTAATAATGTTTTCTCGTTTTCACAAAGTGCATTCGACGAAGAGAAATTAGTGTGATACGAACATACACGGCGTGCTATACCTTTAAACCACACCTCTATAATCGGTGGCGAACTTGTGATAGTACCGCGACGTGACTTAGTAAACCTATTGAAAAGACAGTATTTAACTGCCATGGCATCCCGTCTGTCAAAGCCGGTTGAAAGGGTAACGACTTTTACTACCTGTTATAAACTTGAATTCAATATACCAAACTTCATAGATCCCGTAAAACAATTTACACATCGAGTCATTAAAATAAGCGAAGGGAACTGGACCGCGGTGGAAAAAAAGTATCTCATTCTCAGCAAACTAAGTGTTTCATTGCTATTGCTGACGTAAAAAAAGCACGTTGGGCGAGCCATAAAAATATTAGCGTAATAAATAAATTACTGATGTTCACCATCTGTGCGTAACCACCCGAAATGCGGGCCCTACTTTGTGAACGCACCGCTACATTTACTGAGCATTAATTTCTATGTGATTTTCTTTTCTTTCTTCACAGCAATTGTAAATGTCCTGTCAATACGAATACCAAGCATCGTGGCAATCAGGGGTGCTTACACCGGCTACTTCCTAGCAATGAATGAAATGGGGCAACTTTATGCATCGGTAAGTGCCACAAAACCTTCCCTTGTTTGTTTGTTTGCACGAAGTCTTTTTTTTTTCTCGGGTTCCCAATTTGGCTTTCCCACGCATTATACGTGCATGCATATACGGGGATTTGTTACAACACTGACACTGGCTGGTCAGCATTTTTCCACGCATATATATTACTGTGAATGTCAAATATAGCGTGGCAATTTTCTGCATTACACCACTGTATGGCGCTATAACACTCTCGATGTTCTCCATCAACATGAAATATCAACTAAAGATTTTAGTTCGATTTCGGCTTATTTTTTAATTTATTCAAAGCAAGAGGAATATTTATCCAGCACACTTTGACATACACAGAGTAACTGTGTTGTGCATACGAGGAAAATATGTCATCGATATCTTTTACGTTTGATTTCGTTATTAAAGGGCGGTAGTCGTCGCGCCACGCATGCGCGAAATATATGGGTCTCATATAAACAAAGATGGCGACTTTGACTGTTGCGCAGATCAACGAGTACAAACTGAGACGTTACCAAGCTTTAATTATGTATTTTATTAGGTGTTTAGAAGGTATCGAGCGGTATTTAGTGCTAGTTGCGACAAATGTCGCACATGCGCAACGCGACGACTATCGCCCTTTAAATTACTAAGAATTGTCGAATAATATATACATTTACCTCAAATAAGTAATTGTTGCGCTATAATCTGTTCATTGGAGACTCGTGTTTCTGTGTGTGGATTGATTGTTCGAAGCTTGACACTGGTGGCGGCCACCTTCGTCCAACTACATGTATTAGGATATTATCTTGGTATACGTGGCCGTGGTACAGGTACTGCTTACATTGTGATTATGGCGTGGAGCAGATGAACCACTGGTTCTGTGCCTGTTTCTAACAGTGTGCGTCCTCCCGGTGAATAACTCAACCTGAAGCACACATTGTCAAGGCGATTACGGTGTTGCTGTCGGTGTCAAGTGGACCGGAGTAATTTCACATTTGTGCTTGTACATACATGAATATACCTTACAAAGGGGTTAATTTTACTTGTGATTGTTTTTCCACAGAAGAATTTAACTGAACACTGCCACTTTAGAGAAGTGATATTGGAAAACATGTACAACACGTACGCATCAGCCAAGCATCCAATGCGCAGTGACCGGGCAAGGAGGAGAAAAGAAAACAAAAGGAGGAAAGATAGTCGGAGAAAGAGGAAAAAGCACAGGAAAGAAAAGAAGAGAGACAGAAAAGACAGAAAGAACTGGTACGTGGCTTTGGACAAGAATGGGGAGCCGAGGATAGGTCCCAAATCTAATTCAAAACAGAAAATGTCGCAATTTCTTGCAAGGCCGGTGGATCTCCAAAAATTGTCACCTAGGTTTATGAAGTCGTACCAGAATTAACTCCCTTGCCTGGAAACAAACGACTGTAGTTATAAAGAGACATACGCAATTTCTTGAACGTTTACTGTGGATATTTTGTACATAATTGTAAGATAACATTCTATTAAGTGAAGTAGACAAAAATACATTTTACTGTTGGTGATGACGTGGACCAATATCTGCTTTGTGTGTGTGCCCAGTGTTGTGTGTATACGACGCGAGTCCCGTATCCATGGAAACAACAACGTGCGTCCACTGCTTCCAATCATCAAAACTGAAACGAATTCAGAAATGGCTGAAATGAAAGACGTCTTTAAGAAAGTATGAAAAACTTGTATATGCTTGTATGTATTTATTTTTCTATTCAAAGAAGAAATATTATTTATTTATTTATTTACAAAGAACAAAATCGTTTTTTTTTCTTCATCAAGGCAACATTATTTTGCCTTCATTAACACCGAATCATGTCTTCAACAAGTGCGTTCGTTTTGGAATGCATACGTGGGGGTTCAGCGACATGTTGGTTTCACTAAAATACATGTATATGTGGGATAACTTAGGCGAGACCATTATTTACAGGTTGGAAAGTCTCCGTGTTAGAACAATACGTAATACTGTTTTTTTTAAATATTTATTTGCTTCTGCGCAGTGAATTTTTTTTCGTTAATGCTATGCAATCAGTGAACCGAAATCCATCCGGATAATAACTTTATTGCTACGCCATACGTGTGGCGCTGTCACAACTTAAAGTTAGTCGCACATTTGTATCATCGTTCATACAACCACGTGTGTGGTCGTTTCGGCAATCATGACGTGTGAACAGACACGAGTCACATGGGTAGATGTAACTCGTCCCACCCAGCATGAACATATTTAACCCCACGTACCTCATTTTGATTTCCCGGAACGCATATCGGTCACGTGCTAGTAATCAACGTATCGACAAGAGTTATTTGATTGTATAAAAATGGTATGAATTCAAGGAATAATTTTGAAAATATTATACATTTTATACAGAGGTCGAGTTAACACTATTGCAAGTAGATCCGTAGCTAGGGTTCAGAACACAAAATCATGGAATTTCAAAAAAATTATACTTGTATGACGTCATAACACACTGCCTGCCAGTTCTGAGATTTACTGAAGAACATACTGCAATATTTTCTTTTTTTAACCAATAAAATGTGCGCTTAAATGTGAGTTACATTGTCCGTGTGTTATTATTCACTGCACCAATCGCATCGACATTGTCTGTGTTACGCTTTCAACTTTCAAATATGACAGCCCATACCCACATTTTCTCATATTTTTAAAATCACAGCCTCGCTTTCGTCACAAACTACCGAGATTATGACAATGAATCTTTTATCGGCAGAACAATCACTAATATTCACCCATGGCCAAGACAATACGAGTATACATCATTTCTTTATTTTTTTACCCACGATTTAACACTTTTCAAATGTACGTTTGGCATTTTTGAAGAATACAAGAGTAAAAGATTTTCATTGTTGAAGTGCATGTTTTGATGTAAAGTTTTCAAAAATGTCAAACTTGTATTTTTATCGAAAAAAAGTGCAAGCCTTCTCAGCTCAAAGTCGGGGTTTAAAATGTGCCTACAATGCAACCATGTGTATTAGTTTGGTTGGCTATAGCTTCTAAAATTGGATAACTTTAGAGGCAAAAAAAAAAACACTGAACCAAGTTTTGAGCCGAGTCCAAAACTCGTGTAGCCATAATTTGTTATACATATTTGGTAAAAAAAATACTGGTAATAGTTTTGACTCAGTGTACGGTCATTTGTTCAATTTGGGAAGTGCCAATTCTTAATCAATCAGTGGAGACAAAAGAATTAAAGTCATTTTAACTGAATCTCTTTTATCAAAATAAAACTTGGCTACAAAATAACGTATTCCGTTCAGTGTCAACTATCGGCAAGTAAGAAATCAGTTGCCGACCAAAATGAAAAGTTTATCATTATAAAACAAACAAACACGTTCCTAATAAAAAACAATTGGCATATTCTTCGCGTCAAGGCAATTATTAGAATATAGACCCTAATCTAAGGCAATGTTGTTAGGGGTATACTATGATGTTTGGCATACATTATGATAGCCCGGATACACTATAATGCTGGGAATACACTATGATGTTGGGGATATATTATGATGGTCGAAATATACTATGATGTTGGGGATATACTATGATATTGAGGATATACTATGATGCTGGGGATACACTACGATGCTGGGGATACACCCTGATGTTGGGGATATACTATGATTTTGGGGATACACTATGATGCTGAGGATATACTATGACGGTCGAAATATACTATGACGCTGGGGATATACTTTGATGGTCGAAATATACTATAATGTTGGGAATACACTATGATGTTGGGGATATATTATGATGGTCGAAATATACTATGATGTTGGGGATATACTATGATATTGAGGATATACTATGATGTTGGGGATACACTACGGTGCTGGGGATACACCTTGATGTTGTGGATATACTATGATTTGGGGGATGCACTATGATGCTGAGAATATACTATGATGTCGGGGATATACAATGATTTTAGGGATACACTATGATGCTGAGGATATACTATGACGGTCGAATTATACTATAATGTTGGGGATATACTATAATGTTGGGAATATACTATGATGTTGGGAATACACTGTAGAAAGGCCGGACTACACAGATATTAACATTGTAGAATCATAATGATTGAAGTAATGAATGTGTACATAAGTTTTTATAATTAAAGATATCAAAGTTCGAAATATTTTTCTTTTAAGTTTTTGAGAACGGGAAAGATTATACAGAAGTGATATTCGTCTTCTATGATTCTGTTGATACCGGTGATATTGGATTGTACAGATACACGTAACCTGGGCAATGCAACCCTGAAATTTGTATTACTGACGCAGCGTAGGTACTGCTAGCAAAGTTTATAAATGAGAGTTGTTTCGAATATTTTATATCACCATCTTTGCAGAGCTGAAAGTCAATATCCCTAGATTTCTGATTAAACATAAAAAATAACCTTTCATTGCCATGTGTGACCCAGTCGTCACCGAAACCATAGAAACATATAAGGCATTTAAGGTAATGCGCCAAACATCTTGAGTTTTGTTCCACAAAGTGACATTGGAATTGATAGCAATGTGCAACGTAACAATCAGAATTCATTTAGGATGCGTACCCAAAATTTAACAAGTCTAACATGAAGTCGATAGTGTCTGTTGCGTATTTACTCACCAAGTTCACCTCCAACTACTGGGTTACAATTATATTTACAGAACTTGTTAAAAACACCTTCAACATCTTTATCAAATCCCCATATTCCCGACCCATACATGATTGGCATTCTGTCTGTGAAAATGTACGTAAAGACACATGGTTCAACACGATGCAACTTTTGTATATCATGTAATGTTGCAAGTTGACAGAGCATGTCTCTATTTCAGTCAGAAATTAGCCACCTGTTGACAAAATTCAGCATGACATGGTTTTAAAGCGGGGGAGTCGTCACCTGCACATGCGTCAGATGGTCATAACATGTCATTGTTTACAAACATTTGCGCTTTTAGCGTGTGTTGTTATCGTCGTTTGGGACTCAATTCCCGCGCATGCGCAGGTGACGGCCCTCCTGCTTTAAACGTGCCTATGGTCACTTGCCTGAATTTGACATTATAACAGCGAACCCGAATTCACGTGCCTGGTCGGTTAAATATACTTGTGCTTCATATTACAACCCTGTACTCGCCAATACAACCCCCTATATAGTTATACTGATATATTGCAGACAAGGCATCACCTTCATAAAGCCAATTTTGCGTTACACGGAATCTGCCACATTTCTTGTAAACCATCACATGTTCCTAAAAATAGTTAACTGTTAATTAAGTCAATAAATGAATAAAATAAATAAATAAATAAAATAGTATTACCGGTATATTCGCGCATGATACATTGATGTTGACGTCATAGTAACACGTACAGGGGGTACTGGAAGTGCGTTGTATATTACGTCACATGTATGCAAATGAAATCTCTAGTCACGTGTACCCGATGTGTCGTGTTGAGACGCGTGCTTGTCTTGTAGACTACTTGGCGATGTTAATGATGGAGTAAAAATCAAGATAAGATAATGGACATAATTACTCTATTGAAGACACCGGCCACTGAAAGGAAAAGATAACGTTATTGTTGTTAATCAATATAAATCGTTGGTGATCTAATACCGATGTCATTGATAAAGCGTTTAGCGCTTGGTCGTAAACAATGCGCGTTGTTTGTAAGGTTATCGATGCGTTCTACAGTACTGCCCACAGTTGTCGTAATGTCTGCCCGTCATACGCGACCTGGCGCCGGACAGCTCAAGTTGTACACTGCTGCCCGGAGTTGTCTTAGGGTCTGCTCATCATAGACGACATGGTGTCTGACAGGCCACTAGTTTTATGGGTGGTCCGTTCGTCACATGCGACCTAGCACTACGGTATGTTCCGTATCTAACTGTGTCTGTGTGTAGATTTATGTAAACCATATATTACAGTACATTATGGAACTAAAAATACCTGAAATAAACGAAAAATGGTCGTATGGATCTGCTCAACAATCCCAATTTGTTGTTAATATCTGATTGTGAACGGATTTTATAATTATTATGTCTTCTCGTGTTTTGTTGTATTGTATTTTATTGTATTGTGCTGCGGCAATACAAAGAGCGTACACCGTCCTTCAAACGTTATTTTTGAGCTAAAAGTTCAATTGACCGGACAAGGACTCGAAAAAACATCGATATTGCAAAATAACAGAGAGACAACCAAAACAAACAAACACGTACCAATGCATAATGAACCTCTTTCGTTGTCAGCCGAATTGCCTTTAAAGGCTCATAAATGAAACGCTGTCTTGTTTACAAATGTATTGTTCCATTAACCACGATTATCGAATTCTGGACGTTGCACGACTTTTTGGCTGAATGATTAATTTTGTCAACGAAAGGACAAATTTATTGATTTTGTCATACCATCAACATTCTTTACTTTAATGAAACTCAGATTCCGTTCATAACAGGATTGTGACCAACTGTAAAATTATGTTGTGTGATTACATCATGGTTATTAAAAAAAAAGATCTTTTTTAGTAACCGTAATTACATTTAAACAGTTTCGTAGTTTATTGATGGTCCAATTAGCACTAAGGTGAGAGATAGTGCAGTTGTATTTGCGTACAGTTGTCATGGAAACTATTTCAATTATAGTTAACAGTTCACACATGAGTGTTATTTGTACTACTATGCGGTCCAACAAAACAACTGTTGAATTCACCCTGATACCAGTTTTTGACATAAAACGACATAATTAAGGTGCGAATGAGGTCAAATAGGTATGCATTTTACAAGCATGGCAACAGGAACTGGATGGATTTTGGTGCCACCCTCCCTACCTCCCACACATAAAATGCATTACTCTATATGTAGAAACCCTGAACAAAAAAATGGTTGCCCCGTTTTCTGTCACTATCAACTCACAAACACCAAAACGTGTACTAGATGTAATCGGCGACCACCTGATTTGTATTTGGCTGCATTTAGAGAACAGACAGTTCCTATTTCTACAAGAGGTTGTACCGCAGTTAATATTATATTGGAATATGTTTGGATATTCAACAGTACATTCTTTTGACGAAATTGACTTCTTCTATGTCACAATGACTATAAATTGAATGTATTTTAGCATTCTATGGCGAATAAACAGGAAATTACGTAATTGTCAACGTAAAGCTAATTCTGATGAAATTCTTAAAAACTTTGGGATAACAAAATTCGG